ACGCCAAAGTTTAAAATTAACTAAACATTTATTACCTAATGACATGTATAACGATTCTTAAAGTGGTTCCGCGGAACCAACGGGTTCAATAGAAAAGCTCCCAGGGTTCGCTGAACTGACTTTTATTTTTAGCTGTTAAATAATACCACAGATGAGTACAAATATTTTAAAACAGCGCTAAAATTGTGACGAGAAAAACTCATTACTTTTATATAAATATGTACAGAAAGGTAAAATTGAAAAAAAAAAAATATAAGTCACTCTTAAATATTTCCAATAAAGATTCTGTTCTTATTTAAATTACTGTGCATTTGATTTGTAATCATTTTATATCAAGTTCCTTTTATGGAACCCGATATAAAATGATTTTGAATGGTTATCTTAAAAGTTTAGGAATCCCTGGTTTATAGGAACGCATATCTAAAAGTCTATTTCGCTATCTCAAACAGGAGGTTTCAATTCCACAGATTTCTTTTAATATAACATAATATAATAACATACGCGCAATCTTCACCAGTTCTGAATTCATTTTGCCATTTTTTGCAACATCCGTTTTGGTCTCTTATTTATTTGGAAGTATTTCATGAATTAGAATCATTATATGTATGTTGCTTATCACTCGTTTACGAATGGTTTAGTAGAAAACATATAAATAGAAGCATTCAAGTGATTAGTACTACTCGCTTCAGGACTTGGTTTCTAAAACACTGATTTCAAATATTTGTTTTACACGCAAAATTATTTCAAATAAAATAGAATTAAAAACTAGAAAGATTACGTTTACATGTTTTACTAAAGCACTAGTGTGTATTTAAGTCATTACTAAAACACGATATAATATTAATATAAATGGGATCGAAATTGAGCGTTAAGTACGGAACTACACCAATATTTTTGGACTTACGTATTATCTATAATTACGTGTTTTATATAATTCCGTAATTTTGTATTAAATAAGTATAACTTTTTATACCATAAAAGTGGTAAACAAGCATAGAGCCCGTCTGGATGGTAAACAAACACTGTAGGCTATGTACGCCTGTAACACTAGGAGTGTCACATGCACGTTGCCAACTCTGAAGAAACCTTAATCACAGATAATAATACCGTTTTTGAAGAACCCCATACTATAGTCTCTAAATATAAATATTTACGTGGTGCAATAAAGAGTAATTAAATAAATACTAGAAATATTAAAACGTTACGAGACAGTTTCTTCAGGTTTATTTATTAACATAATTGAATGAAATAAGTAACCTACTTAATAAGTGCGTTAGGTATTAACTACAACGATAAAGAGGTGCTCGATGAAGTGACTCATATAGTATTCAATAGCAATTTGTATTGTAAACAATTACATGAACGTATGGGTTATGTGTGTGGGTGTCTAACTGTTCGTATGGATATTCGCAAACTCGCATATGTATGTATACAACATTAATGCGTTTAATTTGAAAAACAATGAAAAATAATCCATCTGTTATTGTTACGATGATAACGCGATGTTTTCTTTGAATATTATTATCTTTTATTACCTACGAGACTATCGTAGTATGTTTATATGCACATTGATAATTATCTATTAATAGTTTTATACAAGTACTTACCTTACCTACTTCTCTGGTGATAATCAGTATACCGTATATGTATCTTGGTATGTTGGTATGTTTTTCTAAGTGTTTGTTTGCTATAAGTTATGTATGTACATTTTTATTAAAATATATGGTAATTAGAATAGTAAACTCAGCCTGCGCTATTAGTATACGCTGGTGGGGCACCAGTGAGGGATGATAAGTGAGGACGAAGTCAAATTAGTTGGTTCATCGTAAAGAAATCACCACAAAATAATCACAATGGTTTCCAGCGGAGACCGGGAGGAGGTCGACCTGGCAGTATATTTCTAAAATAACAATTTAGCCATCCGACACCATTACTAGGAATCTCTACCTAAGATTGTAGTAAATATTCACATTGTTATACTGTTATAAAAATTTTGCAATTTTTTTTCATTGAAATTTCTAATGAATGTTTTGATTTTACCCGTGTTTACGGAGAAGCCCGTCAAAAAATAGATTAATATTTTTTATACTTACCCATTAGTTAGTTTCACCCTTTCAATATCTTGCCGTAGATTCATGAAAAAATAATTTAAGTTACATAGATAATAAATCCACATATTACAGATGAACAGTTTATAAAAAACAGGCACAGGTGTCCGACGAAATTAAGTTCAAATGTACTACGGAACCCTAAAAAGCGTATTAACTTATTAGAATAAACACTTTTACACAGCAAATATAATTTTACATAACAAAACCAATGTACTTGTGAAATCTTGGCTACCTCAATATCAACAAACATTTTGTTTTTGAAAACAAAATAAACAAATAGAGACACTTTCACATTTATAATATTAGTATGGATTATAGGTTTGTTTATTCCAATCATTTCAATATTACACCTACAATAAAGTTATATTAGTACTGTAGCTGTATAAATATTTAATTGCCTAATAGGCAAGATTATACACATTATTTACAGAAACTATTTGGTTTTGTTTTATTAAACACTAACGGTATACCGTGGCTTTATGCGTATAAATTAAACATGTTAATCTAGCAACAAATTAGAGAAAACTTTATTCTGGAAGTCGATTAAAAAAATGTGAAAATTATGTATAGTAATTCGGGTACGTAATTGGTAAAGTTCATTCGAAACAAACAGTCAATAAACGATGTAAAAATAAAAAAAATAATAATAAAGAGATGTAATTTTTATTTCAATCAACGCATTAGAGTAGATCTAAAATATGATCTGCCGTTGAGTATGAAAAAAAAAACTAAATATCTTTAATTATTAAGATAATAATTTTACTGTCGATATTAATAAAAATAACGTATTTAAATGTAACTTCCAATAATTAATTACGGCAAAAATGTAATAAAAAAAATTAAACATCATTATGTTTAATTTTGTTAAAAACCATTGTTAAAAACTAGAAACATTTAGTTAGGTATTCAGTTATTACTATTATTCATAGATTTATATCTACGCCGACGTAGAATAACCTAAAATAAGAAATATCTGTAATTATATTTGGTCTTTTAACTTGAAAGATTTGAATTTATCTAGTACATAATAAATACTATTAAGTACCCATCATTAATTTAATCTACTTATGCCTTATGGAACCTGGCGTACAATTAAATTAACAGAATGTATATAAACAAGATATGATTTCATATTTATCTCTACCATACTAGGAACACACAGATAAAGGACTTCAATAAATATTCCCCTATGCTAGGATTAAGTTAGAACAATTTATTCTTGTATTGTTTTAAAACAATTTTAAATAAAACGAAAAGATCGAAAAACGAAATAAAGAAATAAATAATTAAAAATGTATTATACTAAATTAAATTTAGTTTAGAACTGGTGAAAATATAATATCGCATAAAAATAAACAATAAATACGAGCGAAATGAGAGATCCTTTTTTTTTTTATTTAGAGAATTTATCCCTTTTGCAACGCCTTAATTCTCAGGAATGGCAACGCATGAAGGGTGTCATAGGCGAAACCGTATACTCTGTCATGTCCATGGTACTTTTCATTTCTATAGGCGGCGGTTACCGTTTTCCATCGGATGGTGGTGTCGCTTGTTTGCAATCCTAAGTTGCATAAAAAAAAGCAAATATGTACTAATAATCTTTGGTATGATAATATTTTTTTTTCTTTTACCTTTTTATTTACAATATACAAACTTGAAACTATTATCTATTGAGGATCATGTCGTATGCAATTTTATTCAAATTCAATAGACTAAGGTCGAGAAAGGCAGGTTCCGAAACAAGTTTCCATATTCCATGAGCCGGAGTGTAACTCGTTCCTCGACAATTATGTACGATGGGATATTAAACGACCAAACAACTACTATGTTGCTTTTGAAATATAACCCCACTCGGTTCCAATAAGCTTTTAATATTTTATCATGGGGAAGTATAATTTTCTTAGCTTTCTGGTGGTCTCTGCATAAATTACGTTCTGGTATTAGATATCTGGTTTACGATACGTAAAACAACTAGTGTAGTTGACAACTCTATCTCCAATATCAACATTTTTTCTTAATTTATTGGCCATTAGATAGGAGCAATTTCAGGTTAAAAATTACAAAATTTAAAATATAACAATAACATTAATAGGTACAAGTAGAAATATATAAATACTTAGGTAGTTAAAATACCTTTTAAAAAGTTACACCTATTAAGTACATACATTATTTTGACGTTTTACCGCCAATAAATTATTAACCAATATGGTCAAAATATTACAAGTTACACCAAAAATAATTTATTTGAAATAAAATAAAACCGAAAAGTTCTTTGGTTATAATATAATTTCTCATAATTTTATTGTAAAAATTATGTCTTTATGTACGTAGGTAACTAACTTTTACTTTTTCCATATTAGATAGGTAAACTAATCTATCTAACGTAAAAAATATAAATTGAAAAAAAAAAACTCTATAAATATTTTGTAAAAGTTAAGAGGTATAAACGTCGATTTGTCTTCGGTTTCATGCAATCCGATTTCTGCTGACGCTGGGGTTGGACACCTAACCCCAAGTAGGCAGTTACAATTAAAACTGTGTAGGTAGATAGATAGCATTACTCTGGTGGGACGATGCATTCAAAACCCACGCGTTTTCTTCGTAGATATGCATAATTTTGTTGTTTGTCTATTATGGTAGGTAGATGGATAGCCAGGTTAACCGGTGTGACAGAGCAAGGTATATAAACTATATACATATGGGTATTGCATAATAATTTAATGGCATTACGTTATTAAATCTTTTTAAACTATTAGATGTAGATAGGTACATAAAAGCAATAGTCATTAATAAATTTAAAAAGTGATAAAATATTTCTTATGAGAATAGTTTATATTGACAAATAAAAATGTTCATTGATAGGTAGGTATGATAATATAAATTGCTTACCTGACTCTGTCAGACACAATCTCAGGTTTGGAGTTTCTCTTGGCTGGCGTGACACCGTGTGCAGGAGCATGAGTGGGACTGGCAGACGGCTCAGATGGCGCCGAGGGAGGTGAACAAGACCCTGAGCTTGACAGACTGAAGGCTCTGGTGCGGCCGTCAGCCACCGCCGGTGTGCGTCCAGATCTCGCCCTTCGACGCCTCTTCTTCTCCTCCTCAGCCCTCACCACTGCCCCCGGAGGCGCCCAATCAAGGTCTTTCTTCAAATGCCCTCGCCCGCAACGGCATCCACAGGCTTTAAAAGCCAAATCGTACCCCTTTTTTGTCCATAGATTCTGATGTCGCTGTCGTTCAGACCAAGAGCGGGCTCGGCCGCAGGATTTCAGATAAGCAAGCACGCCGGCCTCCCATTGCTCGAAGCACTCTCGGTGCATGTACCGGCCGGAAGAGCACGTGTCGTTGTTGCATAGCACGCGGACGGCGTCTTCGATGCGTACAGATTCCCGAGGGCGAAGGCATTCGCCGGGGACGCAGCACCCGCGGGCGTCCTCCGGCTCGCGTTCGCCGGTCGCACCTTGCCGGCGCGGTGCCATGCCGCGATCGACTTGCCAACGAAATCGAATGTGCACGCGGTAATAGTGGAGCGCGTCACGCGAGACACATGCTTGCCGGAGCGCGCGCGGCCGACTAATAACCGCGAGTGAACGAAAGCGAAATTTCAAGAGCGCAGCGCGTCGCCGCGCCGCCGCCGCCGCGCTACCCGCCTGCACGCTGGGCTGACCTTGCGGCGCGGCGCGGGGTGCGGGCGCGCGGGGGTGCAGCGAGGGGCGGGGCGATGCGGCCGACACGCCGGCGGTGGGGAGAAAGTGCCTAGCAAATTTTCACTTTCGCGCAGCAGCGGGAGCGGATCGAGAAGCGACAACCAGCACCAACACAAGTTGTAAGCAGTGGTGCAGTCGCCACTAGAGATGCGCAAGTCGTGCCGGGAAACGAACCGAACCTGGAACACTTATATCTCAGATACATGGCAGCGGAATTATCTATTCATATAGTGACTATACTAAAATACTGAACCATATAATTTCATATACATTTACCGGTGCAGCCCCAGTGTATACCGATAGCACAGGCGGATTTGCCATTCCCATCTCATCCATTAAAAAAATGCGTTATAGCCGGGGAAAGAATTTGAATGATTGATCATTGCTAGCAATATACTCTGTTAGGTAGACCTTCACGTGGTACCCCCTGGAAACCATCATAAATAATTGATGATGAATTGATAAGCCAACTGACCTAATTTCATCCTCACTGAATTTCATATTCAATTTTGAATATGAAATTTCATTTTCATATTGAATTTCATTGGTACTGCAATGAAATAGTAATGGTAATAGGATAATGGAATGGCAACCCCATCTGCGCGGGGGAAAAGGGATTGTCAGTAATGGAGACCGAGAATCCCATTGCTAACAATATACCCAACCAGGTCGACCTCCTCGCGGTTCCCCTTGGAAACTATCATGGTTCATTCCTGATGAATTCAACATGATGGGCTAACTGGCCTGTTTTCAGTCTCATCTATCACCCTTCACTGGTGCCCCGCCAACGTGTCCCGTTAGCGCAGGCGAGATTACCATACCATTTTCACTCATCAAAAAAAATAACCCCGTCTGCGCTATCAGTATATACTATCGGGGCATCAGTGAGCGATGCAGGTAAGAATGAAACCAGGTCTGTTTGACAACTGTAATGAATTTGACAAGAATTATTTACGAACAATTCCAGAGGAAACCGCATGGAGGTCGATCTGACGAATTTAAAATTAATTAATTAATTTGGAGATTTCTGGAGACTCCAGTCGATCTGATAGGTTAATTAGTACGTTAGTAACATTGGGGCTGATAACTCCCATTACTAACATCCCTTCCCCCATTTCGATGATAATTATCACTTCTTTGTACCGTATATCAAAAGGGTCATTTTTCGAGTTATATAAAACTGAACGGTCTCTATAATGAAAAATTTACCGAAGTCAATGACTGGGGTTGTCATAGTCAGGGATTTACATATTTTGTAGTAAATACACTACAAATTGCCGTATGATTCCAGCATAGAATGGGTTACTTCTTCTTTCCGGTGGCTGTCGTAAGAAGCGACTAAGAGAATTTAGTGGTCTAGATATAGGCAGTAGAGTCATCAATGTCTAACGGCCGTTGCCACCTCGCCTGCCAAACGTGGCAACTACTTGCAAACCCCCCCCCCCCCCAAAGGAGACGCCTATGTTCAGTAGTGGACAGTCAACAACTTACATGATGATGATGATGATGACACTACAAATCGTTACATAACAACTAGGTACTACTAATTTCCTGCTTCTACTCACATACAACATGCAAATCGTATTAAAAAAATCGAGACATTAGATTAATCACTATTTTATATACCTATTAAGAGTAATTGTAATTAAGTAATTACCTACATCTTACGCAGACATACAAGGAAAAAATAAAGTGGACGTGATATGTATCAAGTATCCATATTGTAGTAGAATATTATATGTACGTGAATAATGTCACACCCACAAACATTGGTTATAAATAGGTAGATTATTTATTTACTGATGATATAATATGATGATAAACGTGATTTTATTAAAGGATTTTTCGACGTCATGTTTATATTTTACTAGCTTAACTTACGGCTTTGTTATCGTGAATTATGACTTAAAGTTTCCTATATGCTTAGATTATATTAGATAGAGCATCGAACCTCAAAACGAGTCTTCTTTTTGTCAACTAATTGTCCAGTTAGCCGACTTTTTTTATCAGTGTTTTATACAGTTTTTTTTTTATGGGTGATAATGAAATAGTAACCCCACCCGCGCTATCAGTATACACCGGCGGGGTACCAGTGAAGAATGATAGATGAGCATGAAGCAGGTCAGTTGGTCCATCGTGACGAATTCAACGAAAATTGTTCACGATGGTTTCCAGGGGGAACCACGTGGAGGTCGGACTGTCATACTCCATTGCTAACAATCTCTTTCCCCCTGTTCTATACAGTTACGCTTATAACATTATGACGTATATATATATTTATTTATTAATAATTAAAATGAATTTTTGCGCATTAAAAAGGTACAGAATTTATAAGACAAAATAGATATAGAAGTTATAAAGAAATCACTCATAACTATTTATCACGAAAAATTGTATGAAAAAGTTGACCCGCTTTTCTCGAAGCATTTGTATGGAGACACTCTATCTATATGAATGAATGAATTTTATTGCTAAAAATGTGGTACAATAAGGTCATATGGTAATATTACAAGGGTTTTCACACATTTTCTCATTACTGACGTGAAACATTCATTACAAAGTTATAACACAATAATTCTTATAAAAAATAACATGTAATAATGTAAATGCTTATGTCAATTTTTAAACTTTAATATTTATTAATATTAACTAAATTAATTAATATTGACACATTATAAATAATGTGTCAATATTATATGTTTTTTTTTTTTATATAATCTAAGCCTATATGCTAATCTAGGATAGTATGCTCTATTTGTATATTAAATTTCATTCAAACCATTCAGCTGTTCGTGTTCATGAATGAGTGTATATTCCATTTGTTTCTAGTACAACTATGTTTGCATGGCTGCAATATACTTTAATTTAGAGAGTATCATAAAAATCTTATTGTTTACTAATGTAATAAAATTGTAATTAAACGCTCTTTGTACATGAAAGATATTTAAAAAAACTTAATATGCAGAGTCTTAATAAGACCAACAGATTCCAAAACAAGTATCTTTTTCCGGCATCACGCATAAAACTACTGCACCAGATTTGGTGCAATTTTCACAGTTGTGTTCCTGAAGGTTTAACTTAATATCTGGTGTATGTTTCATTTTGATAGGCCGCCGCTATTAGAATGCTGCCACTCATATGGAATGGGAACTTCGCTTACGAATTATTAGAAGGGAAAGGAGTTGTAAGGAATTGTAACGGAGACTAGTGGCCCCATAGCTAACAATATACCCTGTCAAGTCGAGCTTCACTTGGTCTTCTTTAGTTTGTTCTTCATTGTGGTTAATTTTTGATGAATTTGTCACGATGGTCTGCTTTCATTCTCACCTATCATTCCTTACTAGTGTCCTACCAGCATATACCGATAGCGTAGGCGGATTAACCATTTCAAAACATATTACGTATTTACCTAGTTTATGAGTAGGTACCTACTTAAACGTACAATTATTGTTCAATCTCAAAAGGAGTTCCCATAACGCACTTTTAGAACCATAGAAAGGCACGATTGAATTCATTCATACGGATTCATCTATTCTTAATACGCGCACGTGTGTTAATAAGGGATAACCTATGAAAGGGCCGTAAGAATCGCCATACCTCAAACCGGTTTATAGGAGGGATCGAGTGCCTGGGAGTACGAGAGTAGCATTCCCAGACGTCGACTTTTTTAAGGATTTTATTTTTTACTTTTTATTTCCAATTTTGTGTGCGTCGTAGCCCGTCGTGGTGTTTTATATACTACCACGACTTAGTGACCTCAAGGTCGTGAGTTCGAGTCTGATCAATATCAGGTTTATATATTAATTTAAATTCCCAACTAGTTTTAGATTAAAATCACCAATAAACCAAATTAATCCGAGTACTGTAGCCTCGATTATAATATGCTCGGCAAAATGTGTTCATTACAACAGCAACAGATGAGATATGTCTCTGACTACTCCATTTTTAGTCGTGAGTCATGAGCATATTTATGGATTTATTTCTATCGTACGAAATTACTTTCTGTTTGCCGTCATCAAATCGTAGATATCAGTGCTAAAATCATTATTATCTACATTATTCAGATGAGCACAAGGAATGCTTACATGAGTAGCATGCGATCGAAGTGGACACTCGTGTTCAATGATATGTAAATAGTATACTATGTCTTATTAAGAATTTATTAATTTATTAACTGAAATCTAATTAATGCTCCTTTCCACTATACGTTTGTTCGAAGAGACCTCTTACAGAGTTAAGCTCGCCTGGTATACATCAATAATTTATAATAACGTCATCTTTGTGTGCCATAAAGAATAAATAAATAAAATCTTGATATCATCAGAAATATCACAATGAAAATATAGTGATTATGAACTACCTATAATAAATCTTTGTCACAAAATCGCAATAATCCTGCTGAGCTCAGGCTAAAATATCCTGTGATAAAAGAAATCAAACAGCAAATATATAAGAGCACAACCCAGAATAACACAAACCAGAACCGATTTAAAAAATGTTTCCATATTTGCAACCAAAACCTTTGAGTATATAAAGCACGGTGTAATTTAGGTAAAATACAATGCATACGATACCTTTCACTACACCATTCCATAGAGGAATATCGCATTTAAATTCGTATATTAAAAATGAATATAATATTGTTTTAGATTCTGCCATATTCTTGATACTCGTATTATGTTTATTTTAAAACTATCCTACTAAACATATCAAAGAGAATGTAATTATTTTTATTTACACGTCCTTGAAATTCAAAGTAATAGTTGCCAACCCTACACGGGAGGGAAAGAAACTGGTGGCGCAACGTGTGACCCAATTCCATTCAAATACCAGGTGATAGGTGCATTTTATTACGGCAGGGGACAACTTAAAGAAACACGTGTACTTACACTGGCCGAATTATGTGATTTCAATAATAAAAAGC